GCCGTCCGAATGCGTGGTGTAGAGGGTCAAGGTCACAGAGTCTCCGGACAAATCCATCTCTCTTCCGGTCCAGGGCGCGGCGATCACAAACCACGTCCCGTAACTCCAGAACAAGCCGTCTACGACATACATGGGGAAATGTATAGCTTCTTGTTTTTTATGTTAAGTAAGAGTTTTACGGCACTCTCAACACAAATATGTCATAACATGTGGCGTCGGTGGCCTAGTGGTAAAACTATGGGACTCGTAATCGTGAGATTGCGGGTTCAGGGGTTCGAGCCTGAGCTCGGTCCGACGTTGTGTCCTTGGGGAAGGCACTTTACACAAATTTCCCACTTGGCTCGGTCCTCTCGGAAAAGGACGTTAAACTCGGAGGTCCCGCCTCATAAACGACCTAACAGTGCTGATAGGGGCGTTAAACTGTTACTAGTTCACCATTTTCGCAATGTCTTAACATGGATGAACTTCCGTAACGAGCGACCACCCTAACAAACACGATAAAGAAGGGACCTAGACCTTACTCTAACCCAACCCCTACCCTTAACCCTACCCCTACCTCTACCCCAAACTCTAACTCTAAGCCTTAACCCTAACCCTACCCCTCTTTCTATTTCATAGTGATGGCTAGATTAGAGGTGTTACTAGAGAGTAATATACACAGAAAATAGAAGGAGGAGAGATAAGGACGACAGATATTTCAGTTTGATAGGAACGAAGGAGCAAACCACAAAACAGCCCGCACCATCCACCACTACCTGTGCATAAATGTACGAGGGTGTGCAAACAGCACAACATGTTAGGGTTATTGAAGCGAACCACACCAAAGCACCAGCCATCTACCGTGTAGATCTATGCAACAATGTACGAGGGGATGCAAACAGTACAAAATGTAGATTCTAGGGGTTATTGAAGCGACCCACACCAGAGTACTAGATTTCTAGCCATCTACCGTATGTATAGATGTAGATCTACGCAACAATGTACGAGGGGGTGCAAACAGTACAACATGTAGATTCTAGGGGTTATTGAAGCGAAGCACACACCTGGGACGACGGCATGAACGCCGGAGTCATCATCTACCACCAACAGAGTAGCGATTGCTCCAAGAACACAGCAGGCAGTGGCAACAGAACCTCTGGTTTCCATAACGTAGATTTTCTAATATTTCACAAATAGGCCTATGGCGCAGGAAATGAACGGCAACATGGAACCGGAAGTGAGGATAAGAATTTCAATCACATATGTGCACAACATCACAGAAACTTGCGAATGACGTCACCTTTTCTTGATAGGAGTTTGGCTCGCACAAGTCGAAATTTTGTATTTTCTAAAAGTAAAAGTAAGAAAAGAAAAGGAAGTGTCTAGGTAGACCCCAGTTGGGGAGCACCAGCCACCATGGCTCCCGTAGACCCCAATCTATCATCATCTGTCTCTCGGCCTTGTTCCCCCCACTTTACACTCTAGTATAGTCCTGCAGATTAAGGAATGGCATTTGATGAGAGTGGTTTCTACTGATTTTAAAAGGTTTACAGCTGGGGCAATATCGCATTTAAAAGCAAGTCCGTCATTTTTCAAAAAAAAAATCATGATGCTCTTTATTGAACGAATGTTTTGAGAACCTTTAGTGCAAAAATGTGTTCACTTAAAAATTAAATTCTGTTAACAAGGTTTGCCACTAAAATGGTCATTAATGAGCTGTGACGTAGGCCATATGCGTATGCAAAATGTGTGTTAGAAGTGGGAAGTGCTGTGAACAATCCCATTTTTGTGTGTGATGGAGATTCATAGTATTTTATATAAATTTATGAAGAAAACCTTCATAATCTAGCCTCAATTATTGTGGAAAAATAATGATTAAGTTAAGACAAATTGATACAAACTGCTGTTCAAAGTATGGATGACATTGATTCCCCCGTTAAAAGGATATTTGAGGATAAGTTGTGCCACGGATTTTTGAGGGATTCATTATAGTGTTGGTTCTACTCACTTTATAGCACATGTCAACAAAGACAAAGACAGCACACGACAAGATGATTCATTCTTTCACAAAAGCTTTCTCCACAATCCACCCTCAACAAATGAACCTACATACGTCACCGCCGGCGCTAGCAAAATTTTTTAAAAATATGTTTCGTAAAGTTTCTCAAATTCGAAATAGTGATCTTTCGAGCACAATCTTTATCTTACTATCACTATCATCATCATCCAGCGCCAGATCTGCGACAGACATCGGCGATCATGGTTCTCCATTCATTCCTTTGCTCGGATACTCTTAAAAAAGCTACGTTCCCTTGATCTTTCCCCGTTACCCATTTGTTTAGGTTCCCTAAGGAGGTTGCTCTTGACCCACTCCTGCCTCGTTTGCCTTCAATTTTGCCAGTGAGAGCTAGATGTTCAAGACCTTTATGAGCGCGGTTATGGCTCAACTCAAAGCTTGTGGTGTGAACATAGCCTGAAGCTCCTACTCTTTGTATAAGCCTGCGGGATTCGTGTCCCCCACCCCCACCCCTACCCCTGAAAAAACAACAGCCAATAAGTGAACACGCATAGAACACTGACTTAGCCCACTCTTCTAGACCACTGACTTAGCCCACTCTTCTAGAACACTGACTTAGCCCACTCTTCTAGACCACTGACTTAGCCGACTCTTCTAGAACACTGACTTAACCCACTCTTCTTCCTCTGGAATAGAAAACCCCTCATATACCCCTTTAAAACAGAACTCAATTAAAGCTCACAACAATAACAATAACAACAACAGCAACAACAACAGCAACAGCAACAACAACAGCAGCAACAACAACAACAACAACAACAACAACAACAGCAACAACAGCAGCATTCCAGGTCAATCATACCGGTACCGTACTCATATTTTATTCCTCCGTACTCACTCTCTTTTTCTTTCTTTCTCTTTTTACTTCCGTCTCATTTGCACAGACGAAAGTATACCGCTGAAAATAATAAAAAGAATGTAATGGTATTTTCTTGTATTATATAGTATTTAATTAGTTTCCTTGTTTTAACATGTGTGTATGATGAGGTTTTTCAGCAACCACGCCAGAGCTTATTATGCTGAATGGGATAGGGTGCTCTCCTATATCATAGCCTATGTGCAATCTATTATTATTATCATTATTATTATTATTATTATCATTATTGTTGTTGTTGTTATATCATTATTATTATTATCATTATTGTTGTTGTTGTTATATTATTATTATTATTATTATTATTATTATTATTATTATTATTATTATTATTATTATTATTATTATTATCATTATTGTTGTTGTTGTTATATTATTATTATTATTATTATTATTATTATTATTATTATTATTATTATGGGCCTAAAATAAAAATAATAATAATAATAATAATAATAATAATAATGATAATAATAATAACAATAATAATAATAATAATAATAATAATAATAATATTAATAGTAATAATAATTATTATTATTAATAAGTTTCTTCTTCTTATTCTTCTTCTTCTGTGCATTTACCTCACAGAATTATCTCTAAAAGCGCGATAGAGACTATGATTATGATCGATTGCGTTGTAGTCATTTACTAAACTACACGAGTCGAAACTGTCCAAGACGGCCACGCAGTGCCCAGGAGAAACAGTTGTTAGACAGGTGGATGTCTTGGGCACTGTCGTAATTTTACAATTTGGTGAGGGGGGGGGGGGGAGAGTCGGTCTTCTGTAGCCTACTGTTGGTTGTCTTTATAATAGTGTACATCTATGGTTGTCTTAATAATGGTGTACATCTATGGTTGTCTTAATAATGGTGTACATCTATGGTTGTCTTAATAATGGTGTACATCTATGGTGGTCTTTATAATGGTGTACATCTATGGTGGTCTTTATAATGGTGTACATCTATGGTTGTCTTAATAATGGTGTACATCTATGGTGGTCTTTATAATGGTGTACATCTATGGTTGTCTTAATAATGGTGTACATCTATGGTGGTCTTTATAATGGTGTACATCTATGGTTGTCTTAATAATGGTGTACATCTATGGTGGTCTTTATAATGGTGTACATCTATGGTGGTCTTTATAATGGTGTACATCTATGGTGGTCTTTATAATGGTGTACATCTATGGTTGTCTTTATAATGGTGTACATCTATGGTGGTCTTTATAATGGTGTACATCTATGGTTGTCTTTATAATGGTGTACATCTGTCGGAGTCTTTATAATGATGTACATTTATGGTTGTCTTTATAATGGTGTACATCTATGGTGGTCTTTATAATGGTGTACATCTATGGGAGTCTTTATAATGGTGTACATCTATGGTTGTCTTAATAATGGTGTACATCTATGGGAGTCTTTATAATGGTGTACATCTATGGTGGTCTTTATAATAGTGCACATCTATGGGAGTCTTTATAATGGTGTACATCTATGGGAGTCTTTATAATGATGTACATCTATGGTTGTCTTTATAATGGTGTACATCTATGGGAGTCTTTATAATGGTGTACATCTATGGGAGTCTTTATAATGGTGTACATCTATGGTTGTTTTAGACAGGAGGTCGTTGCTGCAGGTTCGGCTGTATTAATGCAGGGCCAGAGTATTGTATTGCACCGGTGTGAGGCTGGAGAGTTCGACTTGACGCCCCAAGGGAGGTAACCCTGTAATAACATTGCCTGGTAACGGTTTTTTCACCGGAAAGGCAGGCCCGATGTCGCTCTTCTGTGCCATCCTATTTCTCTGTGTCTCTCCCAGGCCTGGCCGTGTCGTGAATCGATAACTTCCTCTCTGACCCCAGCTGCTGTCATTGGTCAATACTGTGCCTCATTCCAGCATGCGTTGACACACGCACACACACTCACACACACGCGCATCGCATCCAGGCCAGGCTGCTACACACTACACACCAACCACCGCACGCCGTTTGGCTCTCTCGACCTGGCTCTGTGTTGTATCATCCCGCTTGTGGCGAAGGGTTGGGCTGAGAGCAAGCCAAGTGATCCTTTGTCTATCTCGCCGTGTTTTCGTTCCTTGCTACACAGCAGCAAATGTCTGGTTTGAAACTAGGAATACTCAGGCTAGGGAGAGTAGCAGGAAAGGTGAGTGGACATGATGTTCCTTTGTGACAATGACATTAGATCGTCTATCTTTTGATGTTGTTGTGGGCATTGTTGATTGACTGTGGCCCCCACGCTATGGGCTGTGATTGGGTGTCAACAATGTGTTGGGTAGAGTTAGATCTAGAGGTACAGGACAGGCCCAGGCTTTGTCAAGTGGGATTGAGTGAATGATTGAGTAGGCTAGGCCTAATTAATTATTTATTAATGATATTGCCGTATCTTCATGATTTTTTGGAGCCCATTTTGGGAGAAGTGGTCCCGGCCGAACTCAATCTAAGACATTTATAAAACATGTACACAATCGGAAACAAAAACGGAAGTTACTTTCTTAAAAAAAGGTTTGGGGGCCCTGCCCCCCCCCCCCCCCAAAAAAAAAGGGGAGATTGCAGCCCACCTGCTAGACTCTAGATTCACAAAATAAGGGTTTGTGACTGTTTTTAGTGCCAAAATTGTTCTCAGTAGGCCTACTCTAAAAAAACGTTAGAATAATGCCAAAAATAGTCTTCTCAAATGTGTTTGGGACCTTTTCTATAAATGTACGGGCGGTCTTTTCACCCTGGCAACTCAGTCAGTTTTTTAAAATCAACTTCCGTTTTTGTTTCCGATTAGATCTCTAGATCTAGATATCTAGATCTAGTGTAAAAATGTCTATGGAGGTGGATCTAGGCCCGGACCACTTCTCCCGTAGAGTGCCCCTATATTTTTTTCAAAATGACTTTCTCTGAACATTCAGGAAAATAAACTTGACCTCTATTTCTCAGAACGGTTTTCGTTCTTGAGATTTTTTTGTTATTTGCGAGAGTTCGGCGTCATCTTTCATTCTGCTATTCTGCGACGACTGGGGAACATTCACACACACACACACACACACACACACATCCGAGAGATCGCCTGCTATTTTTCCGTACAAAATGAGCAGTCTGGTAATATTTCACTTGTTTTCAACAAGGGGGTTTACTCCCCCCCCACCAAATAAAAATATGGGGGGTTTCAGGGGGGGCATGCCGCCCTGAATTTAACAACAATTCGATGTTGTGCTGTTAGGTTTGATATATATATATAATATATATGATCTCTCGCTCGCCTTGCCTCAAATGTCATATCGGCACGCACACATGGAAAAGTAATCATTTCAGAAGTAAACTTCGGTGGAGCCAAAACCCACACTCCATAATCATCCCAGTTATCGTTGGGGCCAAAACCAATCCCAAAAGATATATGTGCAATACTTTTACTACTAGTCCACTACACTAGCGTGTAGACCTGCCAATTATTACGATAGCCAATAGGCTACTAAATGAGAGTTTCCTTTTTTTTCTTTCTTTTGCTCGTGGAAGAACCTCGTATGGATTAGGGGAAGGCCTACATAAAATGCCATTTTTTGCTTGAAATGCATTGCCACATCCTTTGTACACTATTTATATCTCGTAAATAGTGTTTTTTACAGTGCTGTTTGTGTATATATATGATATAAGATATATTGCGTGACTTATTCGTAAGACGTCATGTGAAAATACACATTTTCAATAATAAAATAATTTGCGTCTATTTGCAGTACACATGTGTTACGCCGCGGTAGAATCAGGCGCTCATCAGAATAATGAAATCGGAGAAACTGGCAATTTTCAGACAGTATGGCAATTTTTAATCAAATTTGTATTTTTTGACTCAACAATATCTAGAATCTAATTAAAAACATAAAATGTGTGAGGCGGCGTGGTGAAGTCGGGCTCGTCAAAATACAGAAATCGGAGAAACAGGCATTTTCAATTTTTATTTTTGGTCTCATCCTCTTTTATGTCCATATAAAAATGTACGTGTGAACTTTACTGAAAACATTGATTACAGGCACAAAATACGTCTTTTTTTTTTTCAAGGACTCTTAAAGCTATTGGAATTTACAAACTTTGGCGGCCATTTTATCACTAATTTAACTACTGAAAACCAATCTTGAGTTCTATTCAAGATAGATGGATATTTATTTCATTGGAAGCAAGGCAAATAAATCTGGCAGATGGTACCAAATACTCCACACGTCCAAAAATTGCAGAGCATCTGATTCCACCGCGTCGTGGCGTGACACATAATTCAATGTGGATTTTACAGAAAAATGATGATCAAAGGCACAAATATATATTGCAAATTTATTTTCTGTTTCCAAAGACTTTCAGTCTATGGAAGTTTCCAAACTTTGGCGGCCATTTTCTCTCTAATTTTACCTCTGAAACCAGTCGATCCTCACCTCCTTCAATGGCAACTATCTTGTTCAAGACAGATGTATATTTCATCAACAGTTGCTTGTTTCAATGTACACGACACAATGGATGTTTACGCTATCTTTTGTAATAAAACAAAATTGCTCAGTAGAAACAGTGGAGGAAAGATAACTTGACACATGATGCAAAATTTGAATTCATGGATAGCTCTTATGATATGCCATTTGTCGACTGAACCGCTATACATTTACTTTGTATTGGCAGAGTGATATATGTCGTACATGATGGCAAACAGCTCATCTCCAAAACCCTACTGGTCACATTTTCCCTCACATTTGTCTCGAATTCCAATTGTACACTGCACGGCACGCATGATGGAAGACGAATGAACCCACCCATCGCCATCAACGGTGTCAGGTTACATTAGCCCACCAGCCCCCCCCCTCCCGCACGGTGTGGTAGATGCACTGGTGGTGTATGGGGACGTACGCATCATTGCATAGATAGATAGATGTATACCTGTATTGTGTGGTACACACACACATATATAATATAT